CAGAAGGGGGAGGGCGGGGGGCTCCGGGAGCAGGGGGGGCGCGCGTGGGAGGGGCGAGGCTTGTGCGCCTCACTTCGGAGACTTACGGTAGCGCCCTGATTCTGTGCGCGTCTCGTCCCCCGCCAGCACAAGCCCACGTGCTGCGCGCGCTACTCGCTGTATTACGGTAGCACTCGCTGGGAAGTGAGGTGCCGTGGCACCAGGGGCAGTATGGTAGTCCTCGATAGGATTCCCCCCCTTACTAGAAGTATTACGGTAGGCAAAGGCAAGGAGCCCTGTTATGTGTGGGACATTAGGGGAGCCCCCAAGGGCGCACTTTATTACCTGCAGTACGGTAGCAGCCATCCCCCGCCTTGGTCGTGGGAAACTGAGGCAGAGACCCCGTGAAGCCAGGCAGCTGCAGGTAGGGGGCGGGGGGGACAGCGCGGGCACCTGGGGTGCCAACCACTAGCCCCAGCGCGTGCCTAACCCTTATGCCCCCGTTGTGCTGGGAGCCGGGAACCCGGGTGGCCCCGAGCAGGGCACAGCGGGCACCTGCGAGCCAATAGCGCCCCCTGGTGGCTGCCCCGGGAGGCTCTGGGCACAGGCAGCGCCAGGCCTGGCCCCTGGGCTCCCTCCAGCGGGGCTGGGGGCGAGATGAGGGGGTGGGGGCTGGGCCCCTGGGTCCACACCCCTCTTGCGGCCCCCCTCCGTAACAAGCCCCCGAAGAGCACAGCAGACACCCCGGTGCAGAACTCGTCAAATCAATCCTTTAATGAGCTAGAACGAACAGACCCGTCATGGCCGATGCCCACGAGGGGGATGCCCTTCTCCCCCTCCCCAGGAGCCCAGACCCCCAACAGCCCCATGCCTGTGGCCCCTGCCTCCTGCCCTTGGAGCTGTATGAAACAGCCCAGCTCTGCCAGCAGCCCCCCACCCAAGTGGGGCACAGCCCCCTCCCCTCAGTACTCAGCTAGAAATACCCAGTGCCCCTCACCTGCAGGGGGCCTGCCCCCCCCCGGCATCTGGGGGTGATATCTAGCTTGGCTAGTGGGGGTCTAGGCCCCAAATTCAACCTAGAACACCCCCTATACCACCAGGGACAGTGGGGGCAGGAGGCCCTGGGGGGCTGGGCCAGTGTCTCCTACAAGAAGAGGGGGTAAGAAAAGAGGATGCGGGGAGACCACACCAGCCCCCACCCACCTTTAAGGGCAGCTAGAGGGGGTGTGGGAAGCCCCCCCCAACTCCAGTGCTTTGTTCCGGGGGGGGGGGGGGGGGCAAGCAACCAGCACCAATTACACAGCTGCCCCCTAATATGCCCAGGAGAGATGGGGGCACCCCTCAATGCCCCCAGGACAGACAAGGAGGCAGATACCCCCCCAGGAGGACCCACATGCCCCTACGATGGACAGGGACCCCCTAAATCTCTCTTGACAGAGCTGGGGAAAGACAGGGCAGGTCTTTCCTAAGACAGGCCAAATCCCCCAAGACAGGCCAAAGGACTTCAAATGCCCCAGGACAAGTAGGGGGACACCCCCAAAAACCCCCAAACACTAGGGGAAGAGGGGGCACCAATACCCCTGACACCCCATCTTGGTGAGTGTGGGGGTGCCAAAATGCCCAAGATGGATGAGGGGCCTTATTGCCCCCAGCACCCCAAGAGACCAGGCGAGAAGGGGTACCTAAATCCCATAAGCAGGGGTTGAGGGGAGCATGGGGGTGCCTAAATCCTCAAGACCAATAGAGGGAGCTCTCACTCACCCTGGCACAGACCAGGGGGTGACCCTCCAAACACCCAGGGAGAAGGAGGGGCTGCCCCAATACCCTCAGACAGTTCAAATGAAGTATGGGGGCACTTAAATCCGCCAAGCCAGAGGACGAGGAGTGTGGGGCACCCTCAGTACTCTGGCTCAGGGTTTGAGGGAATTAAGGGGGTGCCCAAATCCAATACTAAGGATGAGGGGGCTAGAGGGCACCCCAATACCCCAAGCCAGAGGTCAAGGGAAGTAGGGAGGGGTGCCCAAATCCCAGAGCCAGATGACAATGGGAGCAGAGGGGCAACCAGATCCCAGAACCAGAGATCAAGGGGATCCTGGGGGCACCCTAATAGCCCAAGCCAGAAGTTCAGAGGCAGGGGGCACCCAAATCCCAGAGCCAGAGGTCAAGAGGACCACAGGGGGACCCCATTACCCTAAGCCAGAAGATGTGAGAAGCAGGTGGGCACCCAAACCCCCGAGATGAAGGACAAGGGGAGGACAGGGGGGCCCAAATCCCAGAGGACGATGAGGGGGGCCTCCAG